TCTACTCATAGGAACCTCTCCACCTGCTTCCTCATCATCTGAAGCAGGAACTGTGGTTACTGGATCATTCCCACTTATAGAGGGAGCTGAGTCTGCTTGATCTACTCCTTCTTCATCCGGTTCTAGTCTACCAACATAGGCCGGGTTCCGTACTAGAATAGGAACTCAGTTCATCTTCTTCTATCTCGTTCGAAAGGGTTCTCTCTGTATGCTGTGTGTGCACTATATGTAGCACAGGTCCCAGGACGGCTATGTGCAGTGTGACTTGTGTCTACTCTGCAGCGGTCCGGGATGTACTGACCCATCTGGCTTCCTGTTGGATTCAAGGGACTGTTCACTCATATATCAAACAATCTGGAATACAACATTATGAACATTAAAATGATGAAGCATTACTTAGTTCAAAATGTACCATGCGACTGAAGGGTTTTTCCGATGCTCTAGCACCCACATACGTAAAGGGATCAGGCTGGCAAGCACATTTTCGGACTACTCTTAAAGTTCAAAGGGCACCTAAAACCGAAAATTTGCACTTTTTAACAAGAAAATTTCAAAATTGAATTTTTTTGAGGAAATCAGTAACACTTTTTTGATTTTTCTCCTTTTTTTTATTCTTTAGACTATCCAAAACAATATGTCTCGGTGCCCCTATGCGTACAGTACAGTACAGTACAGTACAGTAAAGTACAGTACAGTACAGTACAGTACAGTACAGTACAGTACAGTATAGTACAGTACAGTACAGTACAGTACAGTACATTACAGTACAGTACAGTACAGTACAGTACAGTACAGTACAGTACAGAATACAGTACTGTACAGTACAGTACAGTACAGTACAGTACAGTACAGTACAGTACAGTACAGAATACAGTATAGTACAATACAGTAGAGTACAGAAAAGTTGCAAAGAGGAAATCAATTCATTTAAAGTTGTTAAATTACCCTTGACCAAGCTGCAGAAGTTTATACAGAGTTTACTCTACATCCAGAAAAATAACATTGAACTAAAGTTCATTTAATTTTAGTTTCCAATTCATTTACTAGTTTTTTAAACAATTCAATTTCTGAATATAGATAAGAAAATTAGTTTCGAAATCCGACCCAAACCATCAAAATACAAATATACAATATTTCGTTGTTCACGTTAAGAGTAAAGTCGTTTTATGATTTCACGTGAAATAAGCAATTGAAGACGACTTGCACCTAGAGATGGATTTCGTTTATTGAAAACGAAAAGTAGAATAATATTGTGTAGCATTGTATGCTAAAATTAAAATAGGTAAACTTTTTTCCCAGTTATGTTCCCCAGTTGCTTTCAAATTTTAAAGAATAATTGGTCTATTAACATACTTAGCTATAACTAGTCTAAGTGTTATTGGTCAAAACATACTGAGCTATAACTAGTTTTAAGTGTTATTGGTCTATTAACATACTGAGCTACAACTAGTTTTAAGTGTTATTGGTCTAAACATACTGAGCTATAACTAGTTTAAAATATTAATGATCTAAACATTCTCAGCAATAACTAGTTTAAAGTATTAATGGTCTACACATACTCAGCTATAACTAGTTTAAATTGTTATTGGTCTAAACATACTGAGCTATAACTAGTTTAAATTGTTATTGGTCTAAACATACTGAGCTATAACTAGTTTATAGTGTTAATGGTCTAAACATACTCAGCTATAACTAGTTTAAATTGTTATTGGTCTAAACATACTGAGCTATAACTAGTTTAAAGTGTTATTGGTCTAAACATACTGAGCTATAACTAGTTTAAAATATTAATAATCTAAACATTCTCAGCAATAACTAGTTTAAAGTATTAATGGTCAAAAAATACTCAGCTATACCTTGTTTAAAGTGTTATCGGTCTACACATACTCAGCTATAACTAGTTTAAAGTGGCAATGGCCTAAACATACTCAACTATAAACTAGTTTAAAGTGTTTATCTTCTAAACATGCTCAGCTATAACTAGTTTAAAGTGTTAATGGTCTATAAATACTCAGCTATAACTAGTTTAAAGTGTTAGTGGTCTAAACATACTCAGCTATAACTAGTTTGAAGTGTTAATCGTCTAAACATGCTCAGCTATAACTAGTTTAAAGTGTTATCGGCTGTTTAAAACTCTGTAATTAAAAGATCTTCCAGTGGAAAGAAGTTGTATCACTTTCAATACAATCTGATTTATCTAATAGTATTGAATGAATAATATTTAGATTAAGTTATGTTGAAGTATAGATTCCAAATCAATTCAAACTCCATCAAAGGCGGCAGGATTATAAGGTGCAAAGGAATAGAATCTAACTTTCATTATACAAGAGTTAGGTTTATGTAGGGCTGGGCACGTTTTAGACATTTTTCTATCCATTTCAAATGCGTACTACAGATCTAGGTATTTTATATCTGTTCAATTTTAGCCAATAAGAACGTTCTAAAGTCCGAACTGTAGCATTGGAAATCTCGGTATCAAGAACTGATCTTTATGTTATGCAGATCCCACTTCGCCAATATCGTTTTTTTAATAGATAATACATTCCAGAGAATGCATAGACACAGAATTTCTTCTGGATACATTTACGACTCCATCTTTAATTCCAAGTGTGTCTCGGACATAGTTTTTCAGCTATCAACGAATGCTCACCACTAAAATTTCAGTAAAAGTTAATATTTCCATTTACTGTTTAGTATACCGATATAAGGATTTATCTCTAATTGGATGATGAGATAGATAGAAAGCAATATCTATTGATTCAGAATAGACACCAAACACATGACTCAACCCTGATTGGATCAGGCGCTAATGGAATCACACTCTCCATCATTCACGAAAACCAAATTGCTAAACTATTATAATTTTCAACATTTATTACTGAAATATCACTTTCATTTTTTACCATTTAACTTGTACCCACTAATAACTTTTGTAGGTTTAAATCCCTAGCTAATGACCATCCTTAAGTTTGTTAAGTTAGTACAGAGCGTCCCATATCATATTGGATTATCTCCAAGTTTTATTAACGCTGAAATACGCCCATAATACTCGAAAAACCTAGTATTTTCTGCATTCAATTTTTAAAAAAATAGAGCCATATTGATCTGAATTGATGTGGGACACCCTGTAGTTTGCTCGTTTCCAATGAAAAATAAACATACTTTGACTTAATCATTAATATAGCATTTGGTTTTCCTTAGGGTGTTTTGAATTCGTTCTTCTCAAACAAATAAGGTGAAGAAAACCAACAAACTACATTTCCAAAATAAATTTTAAAAATGAAATAAAACACAGAACAAAATTTATAAAACAAACAAAAAATGATTTTTTCAGTTACATACATATTCAAAACATGGAGGTCAGAACAAATTTGCATTTTGTGATTCTGTGTCTATACATTCTTTGGAATGTATAATCTATCCAAAGAGAATTTAAAGTGCTCACATTGGATATCGAGATCAAGAGTTTAAGATTAACGATACTCCGTACAATGGACATTACTGATTATGATGCCATATGAGACGATTTGAAGATGCTCGGACCGGTTTCATTACCCGCAAACTGTCCTCCTAAGTACACTGCCCCAGAAATTGTGACGTCATTTAAGGATTTAAACTTTCCAATGCTTTGGAGACGACATTTACTGTATATTGGAGCGCATCGAGAGTAAGCAACCTTAATAAACAACCTTGGTCTAAAATATTCTCTCTGTTGCCCGTAATGCCCCTGTTTGCATCCTGTAAAACCTGCTCTACACCAAGGTTATAATGCAAGGAAAGTTAATTTCAGTTGCGTATACTCTGCGTACATTTTGAAACCAGTTCTATCTAGGCGGAATTTGTAAACAAGAGATGCATCAGTGTTCGTTTTTATCCGAGGAGGTTAAAAGTATTACATTTTGATAATTTTGAAAATTCACATAATAGTTTCCTATCACCAGAATATTTCATTGATTATTTATGTGAAAGATGGATCCCATGTCAGGCTTCGACGTCTGTCTTGTGTTTACAACCTTGCATTATAACCTTGCTCTACACTGCCCCAAGACTGGTACTTATAGGGACTGTATCAGGGAATAGGAATAAAGGGAAGGACAATGGCTCTGGTCTGGCATGAGAAAGCCATTCGCACTGATTTGCAGACTCTTTTGGTACAGACACACAACATGACTTCAGTCAAGGAAATTGCAGAAAATGTTGACAATTATAATTAAGCTTGAATAACGAATATATTTATTGTAACTTTAATCAAATTATAGTCTTTGCATAAAAATTTGGCTTACAGTGAATTGACTTAAATATATAAATGATATACTACATGTATATTAAACTTATTTTTTAAGTAAACAATTAACAATAAACAGATGTTCTCCCCTTGACTGAACAAATGCCGATTTTCTTATTTCCTGTATATACCAAAAGTACACGGCTTCGGTTCGTTATCACTTTTCGTTCGTTATCACACTCTTTTGGTACAGACACACATACTTGACATTTCCGCCTCTGGACTATAAGCGTAATTTGTAGTGACCCTCCATGCAAAAGTGACAATGCCCGAATTATAACGGTAACCTTGATATCTTAATATGTGCAAAGAAATGGAAGATACCGTCGTTTTTGTTGACTAGAAAAGTGTAATTATTTCTGGAAGTTTCTTCATACAGCTTTTTATATGACAAGAAATATGCAAGTAACATTCGCAGAGAAACCTAAAATAAAAATAAAAACAGTTTTTAAAAAACAGAAGCATCGATAGCTAATTAATACTTAATACAAAGCTTTTACGGGCACTGTTGTAGATCGGGCGTTGACATCTTTGCATGGAGGGTCACTTGAAATTACGCTTACTGTCCGGGGTTTACAGTGCTATGCACAGCTCTTTAAATAAGTTTATATAAGTATAATAGTGTATACCAAACTTTAATATATTTATGACTTTAAACAACTTTTCAAACAACCAAAAAAAAAGAATAAACTTTTAAAATTTTACGAGATAATGATTGTGTATTTGAGAAAAAATTTATTTCCTGAAACAAAAATAATATAATCCATGGATTAATACGATCAGATCTTATTTTGGTGCACTATGAAACACCTTTATGTTAAAAAACATGTTTGATATCTTAATAATTACACTTTCATATTGTTTTGAAGACAGTTTTCGGTGGCATACAGAGGAGCTTATGGGGGAGGGTAATGGGGGGACGTCCCTCCCTTGGGAAAACTTTAGGCTTTATCCCCCCTTTTGAAAAAATAAAAGAAAGACCAGGCATCTTTTAGCCCTTTAGTGTGATTTTTAATCTAATCGAATAGATTCAAAAAAATTTCCCTCCAAAAAAAGATTAAAAATCGAAATCTTGCTTACACATTTTCTACCTTCCACCCCCCCTTCCCCACCCTCTAGCGGATCATGGTTTTGGCGTAAAATTCAAAATTCAAAATTTAATTGATCTTTCTAAGTCAATACAATCCTGACCGTAATAAATTTTCAACATAATGTAAAACTAACAGCTACGTTTTTGGTATTAGGGAATTTCCTAACGGAATTTTTCTAAGGGCGACTTCCCAAAGAACAATTTCTCTAGTGGCAACTTCCCAAATATGAAATATCATAAGCGGCAACATCGAAAAGGTTATGTTAGGTCTTCTCGAGTCGCCGCAGGCTGCAATGGGGGTCGAGGCCGAGCGCTATGGCTAGAACAGGATAGGGGTCCAAGCGCTGCTGTTAGGACAGACTTTAAAAGCTTCCATTTGGGAAATAGCACATTTGGGAAGTTAACGCTTGGGGAAATACCCTTGGGAAGTTGCTGCTTGGGAAATCCCTTTTCGAAAGTACCTAACATCGTTTTCTTTGGTTTAAATCGTTCTTAAACTCTTCTAATTAATCCGTCTCTATCGAGTTCGGATTCTCTTCTCTGAGAATTCTAAAAATGGAGAAAAGATAAACAAGTGGAAGACTGGAGAGAAGAATTTGAGAGAAAAGTTCTGCTGCTATGATGATAGGGATGAGGGAGGGGGGAGGGGACGGGGTTTCCTCAGGCTGGCTTGTAGTTGTGGTTCCCCATATTGGTTTCACTGTAACCCGAACATCCTAAACATTTAATTTTCACTCATTCATCCCTTCCTTCATCTTTCATTCATCCTAAATATTTCATATTCACTCATTCATCCCTTCGTTCATCTTTCTTTCATCCTAAATATTTCATATTCACTCATTCATCCATTCCTTCATCTTTCATTCATCCTAAATATTTCATATTCACTCATTCATCCCTTTGTTCATCTTTCATTCATCCTAAATATTTCATATTAACTCATTCATCCCTTCGTTCATCTTACATTCATCCTAAATATTTCATATTCACTCATTCATCCCTTCCTTCAGCTTTCATTCATCCTAAACATTTAATTTTCCCTCATTCATCCCTTCGTCCATCTTTCATTTATCCTAAATATTTAATTTTCCCTCATTCATCTCTTCATTCATCTTTCATTTATCTTAAACATTTTATATTCACTAATTCATCTCTTCCTTCATCTTTCATTCATCGTAAACATTTTATATTCACTCATTCATCCCTTCGTTCATCTTTCATTCCTCCAAAATGGTACATCGAGAATCCCTGATCTATAAGTCCCAAAAACTCAGCTGCTCCATTCTTTAATTCAACCATCTTTTCATTCATTTATTAATTCGTGCATACTTTCATCCAGTCTGTAGTAAATGCCGTACTCTTAACTTCGTCCCAAACTGTATCAGTCCAGGTACAATCCGTCCGCCATCAAAGTCAACCAGGACACAACACAACCCACCTGGCTCTAAATGCCACACAGGGACACAAGCGTAGCTATTTATCAAAAATGCCACACAAGGACACAAGCACAGCTTTCTGTCAAACAAGCTATTTATTACTCTGGCTCTAAATGCCACACAGGGACACAAGCGTAGCTTTCTATTAAACAAGCTATTACTCAGGCTCTAAATGCCACACAGGGACACAAGCATAACTTTCTATCAAACAAGCTATTACTCTGGCTCTAAATGCCACACAGGGACACAAGCATAGCTTTCTATCAAACAAGCTATTACTCAGGCTCTTAATGCCACACAGTGACACAAGTGCAGTAGCTTACTCAGGCTCTAAATGCCACACAGGGACACAAGCGTAGCTTTATATCAAACAAGCTATTACTCAGGCTCTAAATGTCACACAGGGACACAAGCATAGCTTTCTATCAAACAAGCTATTACTCAGGCTCTAAATGCCACACAGTGACACAAGCATAGCTTTCTATCAAACAAGCTATTACTCAGGCTCTAAATGCCACACAGGGACACAAGCATAAAGTTAAATAACCTACAAACCAAGCCAATTTTTGCTTATGAATTTATTTTTCTTGGATGTACACATTAGGTTTAGTTCTCAATGTGAATTAATTAATATTTGGTCAAGAAAAGCATAAAATGCATTAATTATTTCATTTTACTTTTTTTTAGCTGGAAACAAAAAACAAAGCTAATTATAAAGAAGAATCTTCATTGAAAGGACCGCTAAGCCTTTTAACAACGCAAACACTATTTGTTTGTTGCATTAATTAATTCATTTATTTTTTGTTTATAGTTAGAAACAAGAAACAAAGTTAATTATAAAGAAGAAAGAAAGTATCAGTTTTCAAACTTTTTAATTTAATTTTTAATAAACTGAAACTAGTAAAACTTCATAAAGTTTTGAAGAAGTTCTTTCTGCGGAGGCTTTTGTTCTCTTAACTTTGTATTTTGTAAGCACATTTCTTAATAAAAGGACTGTAAGCGTAATTTCAAGTGATCTTCGACGCAAAGATAGCGTTGCCTAATTAAAAACGGTACTCTTGAAACATTAATCTGATCAAAAACTGCTTATTTTAGATCGTCTCACTATTTATATGGGTTTACAGTGAATGCACTGTATAAATGGGTTTACAGTGCATGTACAGTATAAAATGGGTTTACAGTGAATGTACTGTATAAATGGGTTTACAGTGCATGTACAGTATAAAATGGGTTTACAGTGAATGCGCTGTATAAAATGGGTTTACAGTGCATGCACTGTATAAAATGGGTTTACAGTGCATGCACTGTATAAAATGGGTTTACAGTGCATGCACTGTATAAAATGGGTTTACAGTACATGCACTGTATAAAATGGGTTTCCAGTGCAAATGGGTTTACAGTGCATGCACTGTATAAAATGGGTTTACAGTGCATGCACAGTATAAAATGGGCTGTAAGCGTAATTTCAAGTGACCCTCCATGGAAGATGCACAACGGTACACATAAAAGCTTTGTAGGAAAAAGATTTTGTAATTTTCAAAAAAAATATATTATTAATTGTGGTTTCTTTACAAAAGTGGATTGCGCATTTCTGCTGCAGAAAAACGTTTAAGAATTATCAGTATTAAATCTTCAACATTATAAATCAGATAAAGGTTTCAAGGGTACCGCGTTGGAAATCGGACATTACAACTTAAAAATACACGTACAGTTCCTTAGGATCTATACCTGATAAAGAGGTGAAAGTTCTGTATTGTTTACATTATGACAATCCCACGAGGAACAGAGTACAAAGGAATAAACAACATTGTACAGGAAACTGAAAATATATTTAAATATTGCAATAAAAAATATTGTAATACAATAAATAATAGATATTGTTATTAATTGTACCTACAGTAAAAAGAAATATTATACTGAAAATATATATTAAATATTGTAATTAATTGTACTTACAGTAATAAGAAATATTGTACTGAAAATACAAGGTTACCCACAGAGGATGAGACTGTAAAGACGACCCAAAACTCGTAAAACATGGCGATTTTAAGCATGATTTTTTTGTCTCTACATTAAATTGCGTATTTTGATATTTTATCAAATGATTAAGCACAGAAATAAACCGGTTTTGACCTTCAAGGAATTCCGAATATGAGACTAAACAAATTCCGTACATTCGTCTCTTAAGTCTAATAAAAAATATAATGTTCTACTGACAATATAGAATTACAAGGCTTTCAGGATGCTTCGCAACTCTTTTCGTATAACAATATTTTTACAGTAATTGTAAATCTCAAAATGTTGTGGATGTGTCTGTTATATAACTTGATACAATTTTGCAAAAAAAATTTAATTTTTCAAGTACAAATTTTAATTTCTTCTGGTCGTAAACCTTTGCTGTGGTCATGTGAGATGTTGCAAATAAACAAGGCCTGATCGGTTCAGCCGTTTTGACGTTTTCGCATTAGAGGACAGGTATGAGAACCTGTGTGTAATTTGTAAATTGTAAACTCTCTGTGTAAAAAATATACATCCCTGTTTATTATATTTATACGTAATATAACTTACATGTCAATGTAAATATAAATTGTAAATCCTCTGTGTAAATGTTATATCCCTGTGAATTATATTTATACGAAATATATCTAACATGTCAATGTAAATATAAATTTTAAATCCTCTGTGTAAATATTATATCCCTGTGTATTATATAAGTACGTAATATATCTTACATGTCAATGTAAATATAAATTGTATATCCTCTGTGTAAATATTATATCCCTGTGTATTATATAAGTACGTAATATATCTTACATGTCAATGTAAATATAAATTGTAAATCCTCTGTGTAAATATTATATCCCTGTGTATTATATAAGTACGTAATATATCTTACATGTCAATGTAAATATAAATTGTATATCCTCTCTGTGTAAAGGTATATCCCTGTGTATTATATGTATACGTAATATAACTTAAACATGTCAATGTAAATATAAATTATAAATCCTCTGTGTATTATATTTATACGTAATACATCTTACATGTCAATGTAAATATAAATTGTAAATCCTCTGTTTAAAGGATTTATATCCCTGTGTATTATATTTACATAATATTACTTAATTGTAATTATTTCAAATGAAACTGAATATATGTATTACCTGAAAATGATATGTAAAATAGCAAGGATTGCTAACCGACGACTAGAGGCGGCAATAAACTGTTCTGTTATTCTTCTAAACAATACAAATTTTGTAGTTAAAGATGAAAAACATCATTTCTGGTTTTACTTTGAAAGATTTTAATAAAAAGTATTTTACTAAACTTTTAAACAAGTTAAGAACATACTCCTGGTTGTAATGGTTCTTATCAATATATTGCGTAAATTAGTCAAGGGGTTCATGAGTTATGATCGGACATACAAACAGACAAACAGAGATTTCTCCTTTAAAAATATACCAGCTTGGGAACCCAGCTTCGCCTAAACTAAACTTTCCTGATAAAAGTACTTTTTATTTTTAGATTTGCAAATTTTTGAAAATGAAATGATTAAATTTTCATGTTGGAACTGAGTGAAATTGAAGATTTTTTTGGGAAAAGTATTATCTCCAGAAAATTTAGATTTTTCTGGAGAAAAAATGCAATATTTTATGTTTTATTAAACTGATTAATCATGCACTTCCAATTAACGTAAATTTCGCTTTGAATTTTTAGTATGAAATATCAAATAAATTAATAAATTTACTTTTCTCAGATGTCTAAGGTCTAAAATCAAAAATGTCACAAAAAAGTTTAATTATTGTTTTTTTTTGGAGTTTGCCTCACGTCTAGATTGAAATGTAATATATTTTTGATTCAACTTAATTATTACCAACCAGGAGGGCTGATAGTTCTCTACCTTTGTGCTCTGTTAGCTCTACTGTGCACATACAATTGTTTACTAATATTGATATACTATAAGTTAAATCTTGGAACATTCAATACGATCTTAAGTGAAACTAACCATATTTGAGCTGACTCAAATTCTTTAAATTCGGCCTCAGAATCAACTTAAAATAAACAAATATGCAGTACGCTCTCGGTATAGTTTATCAGACTAAATAAATCATTAGCTATTTTCACCATATTTTTAGTCAAAAACGTACAAATCAGACTAGCAAAATCTTGTTCACTTCAATCTCATAAATATGAAAAGTCAGGCTAACGAAATCTTGTTCACTTCAATCTCATAAATATGAAAAGTCAGACAAGCAAAATCTTGTTCACTTCAACCTCATAAATATGAAAAGTCAGGCTAGCAAAATCTTGTTCACTTCAATCTCATAAATATGAAAAGTCAGGCTAACGAAATCTTGTTCACTTCAATTTCATAAATATGAAAAGTCAGACAAGCAAAATCTTGTTCACTTCAACCTTATAAATATGAAAAGTCAGACTAGCAAAATCTTGTTCACTTCAACCTCATAAATATGAAAAGTCAGGCTAGCAAAATCTTGTTCACTTCAACCACATAAATATGAAAAGTCAGGCTAGCAAAATCTTGTTCACTTCAACCTCATAAATATGAAAAGTCAGACTAGCAAAATCTTTTTCACTTCAATCTCATAAATATGAAAAGTCAGGCTAGCAAAATCTTGTTCACTTCAACCTCATAAATATGAAAAGTCAGACTAGTAAAATCTTGTTCACTTCAACCACATGAATATGAAAAGTCAAACTAGCAAAATCTTGTTTACTTCAATCTCATAAATATGAAAAGTCAGACAAGTAAAATCTTGTTTGTTTCAACCCCATGAATATGAAAAGTCAAACTAGTAAAATCTTGTTCACTTCAATCTCATAAATATGAAAAGTCAGACTAGCAAAATCTTGTTCACTTCAACCTCATAAATATGAAAAGTCAGACAAGCAAAATCTTGTTCACTTCAACCTCATAAATATGAAAAGTCAGACTAGTAAAATCTTGTTCACTTCAATCTCATAAATATGAAAAGTCAGACTAGCAAAATCTTGTTTACTTCAATCTCATAAATATGAAAAGTCAGACTAGTAAAATCTTGTTCACTTCAATCTCATAAATATGAAAAGTCAGGCTAGCAAAATCTTGTTCACTTCAACCACATAAATATGAAAAGTCAGACTAGCAAAATCTTGTTCACTTCAATTCCATTATAATAAAAAGTCAGACTAGTAAAATTTGTATTCACAATGAGAAAGATAACACTGCAGGTTAATATTTCTTCATTATATCTAGAAAATTCACAGAATAAAACTGATAAATCGAACTTGGATTTCTGGAATTTAGATTATAGTATTTTAGATATTGGCAAATATAAAGAAATTGAGTCCTTGTCACAAACTCAAATGTTTAATCCCTATATCTTTGTAGCCTCATGGGGTGTGGCTTCAAGCTTAGATAATTTGATCTAACAGAATTCATTATTCAAAATATCTACTGCCCCCGTCATTGGTTTGCAAAGAAATAGGGATTGGAATATCAGAGTTTGTCGCAAAGACTCAATTCCTTTAATATTAAAGGGACTGTAAACGTTATGTAAAGTGAACCTCCATGCAAAGATTGTAATCTCTGATTTACAACGGAACCCTTAAAAGCGTTGTCTGATCAACTATGAATTTTTTTTTGAAAACCGTTTATTTGATTTGTGGTTTCTCTAAATGCATGTTTTGCCTGAAACTCATATTAAAAATTAAAATTAACAGGACTACATATTTTTCGACTCGGAAAAACGACGCTATCTAGTTTGCTAGTTTTCAAGGATATTGTAGTAAATCAGGCATTGCCATTATTTACGCTAACAGTCCCTTTAGTTATGTTATAACGTGGTTGATAACCCACAACTGATAAATGCAGATGACGTATAGAGAGAGAACATGTAATATGACGTAATATATATATATATGTAATAAATATATTCTGTAAATTTGCAGTACGTTGTATATTATTCATTATCTTTGTTTGTAAACTTCTACGTAAAACCCATTATTCATTTGAACTGTGTTTCAAAAAATATGTAGCATAGCTAGCATAGTCTAGGGCTGGGCGCGTCCTGGTGGAACGATCGTTCCTGAGAACAAACAGAACATTCAAGAACGATCCCAATTTTTTGATTTGATCACCTGAACCCACCCATCACGGTCCTTCCCCTTCCTACCACACTAAACCCGCCACAAACCCCCCCTTCCCCGGCCTCTGCTAAACTGACAACAGACTATAGAGCAGGTTCTAGTTTAACTTCTGTATATTGTACATATTAAGGATATTAGGACTCCTGCCCCTCCCCTGCTCTCACAAAATTATACGTTGCCAGAAATTATCTAAGCTTATTCTTTTAACCCTAAATTTAAAATATATAATTTAAAGTATATTTACAGCCGTGAGGAACTTTTTATTATAAAATCGTGATTTTGTTTTTACCTTTTAACCAAATCTTTTCTATAAAACTTTTGTCTTGGATGGAATTTTTTTTAATAAGAATGGAATGGGGGATGGAAACATTCTTGACTAAGAACAGAACAAAAGGGATGGAACCGTTTTTCAACTAAGAACGCCAAGAACGGATCGGAACGGGATGACCATTCTTCTACTCAGAATGGAACAGAACGAGAACGGAACGATAAAAAAGAACAAGAACAGAACGATTTAGCTGAAGGCCCTCGTTTTAAAACTGAACCGAACGATTTCAAAAAAGTCAGAACGTGCCCAGCCTTAGCATAGTCATGTGATATCTAAAATTGCGACTATTTCTAAATGTGCTGTCATATGTAACATGATTGCCTTAATCATGTAAAATAGACAACAACGTAGGAATAGTAAATACATGTATTAACTTTAACTTGTAAGATACGAACCTCAAATACATTAGTTAATATAGAGACTCCCCTTTGATTACAGTGTTGGGAATAATATGGTTTTCGTTGAAACATACAATTGAGATCAGTCCTATTTGAAAAATTGATCAATTGATTGCTATTGTCTGGTTGACATAGCTAACGAGATCGTGCCCAGTGGTAGTGGTGTTGATAGTTCACAGGATTGTAGCTGTGAGGATTTTGTCCTCTTTGAGACATTGATCAATCGATTGCTATTGTCTGGTTGACATAGCTAACGAGATCGCGCCCAGTGGTAGTTGTGTTGATAGTTCACAGGATTGTAGCTGTGAGGATTTTGTCCTCTTTAAGACATTGATCAATCGATTGCTATTGTCTGGTCGACATAGCTAACGAGATCGAGCCCAGTGGTAGTGGCATTGATAGTTCATGGGATTGTAGCCGTGTGGATTGTATACTTTTGAGACATTTATCAATTGATTGCTAGTGTCCGTATAGACACCGATAGCTAACAAGATCTCGCCTAGTGGTAGTGGCGTTGATAGTTCACGGGATGATGATGATGATGATGATGATGATGATGATGATGATGATGATAATGATAATGATGATGATGAAGATGATGATGATAATGATGATGATTATGATGATGATGATTATGATTATAATGATTATATACCTGCCAACTCTAATGAAGAAGATAATGAAGATGAAGAGAGGAATGATATTGATGATGATGAGGAGTATGCTGGAAATGAAAAGATGAAGTCTGGTTGATCTAGTTGTGTCTACAACTACAAAGGTCCGGCACAAGCTGAAATCAAAGAGAGTTCAATAACATTGTTCCAAAGGATCTGAAGACAACTTGAGCCAACGAGATTAGTGTAAACGAGTGCACCAGGTGCAAAAACAAGTCGCATTTCCAAACCAAGAATTTTACTTTTAGAATAACATGAATGAGAAGAAATGGCGACATTTTTTAATGGTTTTTTTTAAGCAACATAGTTTAAAAGGACGGAAGGTGCAAAAATTAAAAATTTATAAAAGTAACCTTTATCTTTAAAAGTTAAGTCAAATATAAAAACAGATATTTTTCAAAATTTGACTTTTGCTTAAATGGCAGATTCCCCCCCCCCCCCCCCCCCTCAAAAAAAATACAAACCTTTAAAAATTCTTGAAATCAATATGAACCTTTTAAAGACTTTCATGTAAAAGTTTGGTTTTCTAATAATTTCTCCATTGTTTCCGAAGCAACTGCAGCCAATAAATGCGCAAATCACTTTTGTAGAGAAATCACAAATTAAAAAATCTGGTTTAAAACAAAACAAAAAAATGAATATATATTTTATATATATTAGGCAAAGATTTTAAGGGTAAACTTGTAAATCGAAAAAGGCCCCTCTGTCAATTGAGGGATTCTTTAACGTTTACAATTCCTTATATTTTTTTCCAGATATAGAGACACCAAATATTGAATAAAAACAATCCATTTTATTATTTTCCATATTTACAGACACCATATATTAAATATATACAATCCCTTTTACAATCCCCCCCCCCCCCAAGCCTATATTAGACAAAAATAGCCCAGATGGGATAGGGTTAAAAGAAATCCTAACTTTCTGTTAGATGTATCGACCAATGAGTCCTGCTCGTTAGCTGGATATATTGCATGTCTAGTTGCTAACAGGTTATATAGAAAACAAACTTTTAGAAAATACGAACATATTGTTAATTTGCACTGTATCTCAATTCAACTGCTCTCATTTTTCTTCATTTTCTCTGAACTATTTCTTTTTTATTTCTGCGTTTCAAAATTTTACTTTTTTATTTTTCCCTTGTGTTTAAATTGAATTTTCAAATAGAATAATAAAATAAGGTTTATGTTATACAGACACAGATAATATTTCATTGAAAATTTGTCACGATGCTGTATCAGATTGTGTTGTAAAGAAGATTTATATCCTTTTGTTCAACAAAATACAGATGGAAACTTTTAAATTAAAGTTAAAAGGACTGAGGTGGATATCAAGATTAATGCTTAATCTCCTGATTTTACTAAACCCAAGATTATGTTAAAACGCATTCAATATCCAAGAAAGAAGTTAAAAATTTAACCAATCAGCGTGTCATGTTAATATGTACTCTTTAACTTTTGAAAACCCGGTTTTGATTTCTGGTGTTGATGGTGTCATATCAATGAACTAAACATCAATTGAACAAACGTAAGTTTTGGATTTTATCTGAAATTGCATTTTATCTGTAATTGTTATCAAACGTACCTTTTACACAGTAGAAATATCCAAAAAGAGGATTATAAGAAGAGGATCAAAAGTGTGTACATTGGATAATCAGATAAAGTGATCGTGATTAAGTATATCTCATTCTAAAGGTTTCAGCTCTGTACACTTAGTGACGTTCCATTTTTAAATTAGCGAGTAAATATTCACAAATTCTCCCTTAAATTCTCCCTTAGTAACGTTCCATTTATAAATTAGCAAGTAAACATTCACAAATTCTCCCTTAAATTCTCCCTTAGTGACGTTCCATTTATAAATTAGCAAGTAAATCACAAATTCTCCCTTAAATTCTCCCTTAGTGACGTTCCATTTATAAATTAGCAAGTAAATATTCACAAATTCTCCCTTAAATTCTCCCTTAGTGACGTTCCATTTATAAATTAGCGAGTAAAAATTCACAAATTATCCCTTAAATTATCCCTTAGTCACGTTCCATTTATAAATTAGCGAGTAAAAATTCACAAATTCTCCCTAAAAACTTCTCTATGAATCAGAATGAATGAAATATCCATGTTTTTCTCATAGAAAATTGGTGAAATCCAAACACGTTTTTATGTAACAGGTACTTGCAGATTTCTTTAGAAACAATGGAGGAAATTGTTAAGTTAGATTAAAGTAATTCTTATTCTTAACATTGTTTTTGGTAATTTTAATATTTAATTAAGTTATGATCGGACATACCAACAAACAAACAGAGATTGCTAAATTATATGCATACTTGTTAAAACAAATTCGAATATAAGGAAGACGATTGTGCCGACTCAAATGCCGATGTTAATTCTCTGGATGTGTGTGTACTCAGGATCCATTTCCGCATTACAACACACCACACATGTCAAATCCCCGCTCACCCTAGCTCCCGCTTCACCCAGCATTCAGCTATAAACACTCAAGACATGCACAACTCCGTCTCAACCCTGGCTCCTTCATGATGATGATTCAGATACAGAACTAACAGCAGAAGACACTGCTTACACCTAGCTCCGCGCTCCACAATGTTCCAGAGATCTGGGCGGAACCAGACTTCCTTCCATTATCCTGTATACACGATAAGTCCGCAATCTCTCTCCCTTAGACTAAGCCTAGTTGTGAGAAAGCCTGCCGTCAAGATTGATGATCTGCACCACCATCATGAAGTTCTACAAACACCTTCTAACTGATATTCGTCCATAGTTTCTTATTAATTTCTAAACCAACCAATTTACAATCTTTGTGTCTTGGTCAAATATTTCAAAACAATATTATTTTTCTTAAATAAATGTTATAGAATATTTGGGTTTTTTTCTGATTTCTTTATTTGAATATTTTCTGACTTTTTTAAAGGTCAACAATACTAGCTTGGGAACCGGAACCCAGGGTAGTCATAGTTAGTCCCACTGTTTACCCGCGCTTTGTCGTAAATTACTATATTAATTATGTTTCCTTATCAAGTGGACCTACTCAAATTAGAAGCTCAAAACCAAGCTAAGAACATAGTGGCTCTGTCAAGATTCTCCAATCAAAGTTTGAGGCAAATCGGTCCAGGGGTTCATAGGTTATAATCGGACAAACAAACAAACAGAGATTTCTAGTTTAAACCAAACGAACAAAACTCGGCTGAAACTCGACTTTTTGGTACCATAAGTCGACTTTAAAAGTCGAGTTAATGTCGACTTCTTGGAGTTAAATGTCGATTTACAGTCGAGTTTTGTTCCTTTAATAACATTGGTTAAACTGTAAATCAATCATAAATCACACTGCGTCCTGAATCCCAACTCCCCCCCCCCACCCCCCACCCCCTAAAAAAAGATATGTTGAGAAATAAATTCAATGGATATTGGATATATACAGATGAAAGGGATTGGTTTGCACAAGTATAAACGAGGTAATCAAATTTAATTTGGAATAAATTTGCAATTCATAGACCTTCTGTTTATCCTTTCAGACCTTCAAAGGATTGATAGAATTTTCCAGATACTATTTTTTTAGCGGTAATCTTAAATTCGCAATACAGCCAGTCCCATATTAAACTGAAGTATCTTCACGCTTAAATGCCAAAAAAGGGTTGGATAAATATATTACCTGACTCCTAGAACAAGTAAGGTAGGATGAACTAGTGTTGGATAAATATATTACATGACTCCTAGAACAAGGAAGGTAGGAAGGGTTGGATAAATATATTACCTGCTCCTAGAACAAGGAAGGTAGGAAGGGTTGGATAAATATATTACCTGACTCCTAGAACAAGGAAGGTAGAAAGAACTAGTGTTGGATAAATATATTACCTGACTCCTAGAACAAGGAAGGTAGGAAGGGTTGGATAAATATATTACCGGACTCCTAGAACAAGGAAGGTAAGAAGGGTTGGATAAATAGATTACCTGACTCCTAGAACAAGGAAGGTAGGAAGAACTAGTGTTGGATAAATATATTACCTGACTCCTAGAACAAGGAAGGTAGGAAGGGTTGGATAAATATATTACCTGACTCCTAGAACAAGGAAGGTAGGAAGAACTAGTGTTGGATAAATATATTACCTGACTCCTAGAACAAGGAAGGTAGGAAGGACTAGTGTTGGATAAATATATTTATCAAAGTGTTGAGTTGGAAAAAATTTCAGCTTCAGAATCGAGATAACTAAATATAAGCAAGGGTAAGGGATAGAATCAATATATAATATTATGCAAAACAAATATATGTTATTAATATCAATAATCTTTTTAATGATTTGTATTACTATTTTCACATTATTTATATTCACTAAAATATTTTGGAAATCTTAAATTCTTTTACAAAACGAAAATTTTTTTTAGATTAAAAAAGTTGAAACCCCTTATGCATCAACAACACCCAATTCAGTAGGGTTAAGTGTTTTCAATTTAAAGAAAAAATTCAATTACAGGAATGAAAAGAAGTTTGATTTGCTGTTAAGATTAGCTGCTGGGAACTAAAATTCCTATTTTGTTATTTTTTTAAACGAAAACTTTGGGATTTCTTTTCTTCAATAATTGCTTTCTTAAAATCATTTTCTGTAGAAGAAACCCTCTAAATTAAAAATTCTGCTTTTAGTTTTAATCCTTTTCATTTGTAATGATGTAATATGACATTTAAAGAACTTGTCAGAAAAAGGAGAAAAATATTTAATAATAAAATAATCCAGTGTTTCAACTGAAACTACTGCAATCCAAAATAATTTTAAATGTATGCTACTGCTATATCTTTGCAACCTCGTTATCCTTCCAGAATTGATTTTGCACAAAACCCTAACACGATTGGGGGGGGGGGGGGGATCCCTCCACCCCGTTTAGTTTTTTTCTTTATTTAACTTAAAAACGGCTAACAATAGAAAGCTCAAACTTATTTACTTTTCCAAATTTTGTTATGCATGGGGAAGGGTGAAAGGCGGTAAAATGGCTGCTCGGTGTTTCAAAAAGAATCGAAAAATAGTCAAAAACTTATATATTAACTAACTTATTAATTTGCAACATATAAAGTCTCCGTTATTTAGAAAAATAATTTACAGAACGTTTTTTTCAACTTAATCTAAAATGAAATTAAATTTTGTTTGGAATGTTCAATGTTTTAATTAGATTCAAGATTTAAAAATTAGGTATTTAAAGAATTTGTTACCTAATGAATAGAGAAAAAGTGTGTACAAAGATCGGCTGAGATCAGTCAGAAGTCTGAAAATTCGGTTGTAGATATACTTATATAGTCATTATATAGTACAATCAGTACAGGAAAGTTAAGTACAGTACAGTACAGTACAGTACAGTACAGTACAGTACAGTACAGTACAGTACAGTACAGTACAGTACTGTACAGTACAGTACAGTACAGTACAGTACAGTACAGTACAGTACAGTAAAGTAAAGTACAGTACAGTACAGTACAGTACAGTACTGTACAGTACAGTACAGTACAGTACAGTACAGTACAGTACAGTACAGTACAGAGGGGGACTGGACCAAACTTTTTGAAGTCATGATAATTTAGAGTTAAACCGCGATGGGTAAAATACTGTAGTTAGATGCGAAATTCTCCCTCGCCCAGCTGTTTATTTAATTGTTTTATATCATAATATCTATGCGTTGGCATAATGCCTTTTTCAAAATGTTTTAAAAATCTAGATTTCCAAATTTCTCCTACGTACGTGTGTCAATATGTAAGATCCTAAAAATATTTTTGAGAAAATACATGTTTTTTAAGAAAACGAAAAAATCAGTTTGTCTGCATATTTGGGGTTGCCTCTTATAAATCCCGAATCCGAATATTAGACAGTGTTAGAAGAAGAAGTGCTAAAAGTTAATATTTATGTTCCAAAACTCTTCAAGTTAACTTCGGGAAAACTAATCTCCTTCTTCTTCAACTTTTCTACAATATTCATTTCGATTGGGGGGGAGGGGGGAGCTACTCCCACCTCATCATCAAGGGTTACATGCATAGGATTAGACTTCAAAGACGACCTAAAACTCTCAGAAATAACGACCCTGGAGATTTGATTTCTATTGCGTGTGAAAATGTGCAATTTGCTTTTTTGAGTGACGCGGATGGATTTTTAAAATCAAACTTTAAAGGCCCAAAATGTAACAAAAGTAGTTTTTCCCGGAAGAAACAAATGTGGTGGCGCGGAAGAGGAAATTGTGGTGGCTCATGGCTTCCGGAAGAGAAAAAGCGAATATGTGGCCCGGAAGAGGAAATAGTGGTGGCTCATGGCTGCCGGAAGAAAAAAAAGCGAATATGTGGCACGGAAGAGGAAATAGTGGTGGCTCATGGCCGCCTTCTTTCCTTCGCTCATACAACTTGCATTAGCGATCTATTCTAGTGAATCTAGGAACCCTGTCTTAAAAATTGATGAGACTTTTTGTAAGCAGGCTGAAGCTAGGTGAATAGTCTTTTTTCCACAACTTCATGGGTCCCTCTGTACTGCGGGTTAAAAGTCTATATTTTCCTAGTTGGAAAAATGGAAAAATGCATTTACTATTGTAGTATATTCTAGATATTCATTTCCTAACCTGTCAAAGAGAAGATCCATATAGACCTGTCGTAACTTTTTCTATCCTGAAATATATTTAGGGGACTGAAAGCGTAATTTCATGATCCTCCATGCAAAGATATCAATGTCCGTTTCACTAGCTGTACCTTTGAAACCTTTGACTGATACTGTGGAGGCTAATTGTCGTTAATCAAGTTTAAAGGGACTGTAAAGGAAAAATGAAAGGGGGTATAGGATAAAACCTTAAAATCTCAGGTTGTGAACGACACTTCAGTTAATGGCAGTGCAGTATACTGGTCACTTGATTTCCGTCTGTACCATGTAAGAACGATACTGCACTGTCATTTCGTGACGTAATACGGACTATACGGACTATATGTAATAATATTATCAATTATATCTATTAAAAATGCAAAAATCAAAAATGAAAAATTATAACAGGAGCAAACCTGATATTTTCAGGCTCCTGTGGGATATCGTCGTTTTCAAATTGGTTGCGAAATTGTTGAATCTGATCTGTTAAATGCTACAACTTTTATAAAAAATCTCACATATGTCCGTTTTGGTATAATTTTGACACAATTTTATGTCAATTTCTCGAGACAGGAATATAAGATAGGTATCGTGGAAAACCTGAAATTTTCAAGTTTTATCCCATACCCCCTTTCATTTTTCCTTTACAGTCCCTTTAAAAAGCTAAATTCTGATAATTCCTATATGTTTTCCAGTTGTAAAAAGTACAAGTCACTTTAGTAAATTTAATCCACAAATTCATGGATATCTTAATCTATGCTTGACAAAGCTTTTTAGATGAATCGTGAACCCCATCTTTGCATGGAATATGCCTTGAATGTCGCATACAGTCCCTTTAGAAACCTGCTAATTACCATTTTTTTTATTTGATCAATATTTTGATTTTGGAAATATAATTTCTTCAGTGCGTATAAATACAATAGATATGTTTTCGTCATAATATAAGTCAGTTTTTATTGTTGTTTTTAACCTTTGTGACAGAAACAATCTCAAGAACTGACGAGGGTCAACCCAGACCGAAATATATTTTCAATAAATGTGGAACTAACATCTAATTTTTTTGTCTACAGAGGTTTGGTTCATCACCATCACCGAATTTAAATATTGTTGTAATATATAGTATGCTTAATCAAAAAAGTATCTATATATGCTTTGCTTGTATGTTTGTCTGTCTGTCAGTTTGTGCCCAATAAACGTCAAAACGGCTGAATCGATCGGGCACAAACTTTTTATGGGACCTCATGTGACCCCAGGGAAGGTTTATGAATTATCGAATTTTCAAAAATGTGCCATTAACAAAATATGACCTTTGAAAATTTTGAAAAGCCACGAAATTCTCATCATAAAATCCAAGTAATTTTTGTTTGTTTTTGTTTTACAATGTAAACAGAGAGAAAATGTTAACAATTTTGAAAAAGAAGATGGGCGCGAAGTAAGCGCCCGAAAGTCCTAGTATATAGATATATAGATAGATAGATAGATATATAGATAGAAATATAGATATATAGATAGATATATAGATAGATAGATATATAGACAGAAAGATAGATTATAGATAGATAGATAGATATATAGATAAAAATTTAGATAGATAGATAGATAGATAGATATATAGATAGATAGAAAGATAGATAGATAGATAGATA